ACTAAAAATTGAAATAAACGAATAATTTTTTAGTTTAAAAGTACCTTACTTATGTATGAACTCAGGATATACCAAATTAACTAACGAAGTATAACTTTTATGAATTTATCAAAATAATAGACATGTACTGACTTTCAATAAGTAGCCTTGTACTCTGTAGCCAGTCCACATCTTCATAGATCAAAACTTTGTTATGATATCATGGGCCATACTAATCTGGCCATACTGATCTCTAGAAAATATCAGAATATTTCTGGATATTTAATAATAGCTTTGTTATGGTTACTGCCAATTTTTGTGTAATTCTATGTTTTAATTGTTGTTCTAAAGGTGGATTCTACCACATTTATTTTGACAGCAATATAAGGAATGATTAGACATCAACTTGAATTTCAGTTTAAAATCATGTAAGTTAGGAAAAACAAAAACCTAGCATAAGCAAAGGTGAACTAACGAACTGCAAGAAAAAATTGCAACTTATATCACAAAGGGTAATTGCCTTATTATTTAGAGAGTTTTTAAAAATTCAAAGACCCAGGTCCGGTGTGGTGGCACAGGCCTCTCATCCCAGCAGTTGGGGAGACCGAGGTAAGAGGATCGATTGAGGCCAAGAGTTCAAGACCAGTCTGAGGAAGTAACAAGACCCCATGTTTACAAAAAATTAACAACAACAACAAAAAAAATTAGCCATATGTGGTGGCATGTACTATAATCCTAGCTATTAAGGAGGCGGAAACAGGAGGATCACTGGAGCCCAGGAGCTTGAGGCTTCAGTGAGCTATGATCACATCACTGCACTGTAGTCTGGGCAACAGAGTGAGATACAGCCTCAAAAAAAAAAATTTTTTTTTTGAAGGCTAAACCTCTCCATTCCCTACAAAAACTGGGCAAATAACCTATGCCCAGTTCACCAAGAAGGAAGAGCAAGTAGCAAAAATATATGAAAAGATACTCAATGATAGGATTTTTGCTCAAATGTCTTATTTAGGGAGATTATGAAGAAGTAACCTGTGAAGGAAGACTAGAAACTAAATGCTTGAGAATTAGCCTTTCCTAGGATTAAAATTCCCCATCACAGGGTGGCACTGGTGGCTCAAAACGG